AAAAGAAGCAGGGAGAAGTCCTCGATACCTTCGTCTCGCTCCCCCTGTGGTTGAAGGTAAGGCATTTTCCGGACATCAACAAAAAGGTCTACTGTCCCTTGAAGATGTGATTAAATCAAACTTCTAAGTTAATTTAAAAATAAAGCTACGGCCGTTTATGTTGCGTACCTACTTTCTACGGAATCGTCGGTGGGCGAATCTGACTGGCACTTGTCCGGTTTTTTCTTTTAAGTACCGAACCCTAAAGGAAAGTATTTAATTATAATGTCTAATGAAGGGAATCCTGTTGAATCAGGCTGGGCCAATGCAAAGGCCCGTTCGACTTTAATCTCGTTAATTAACGTTTAACATAAATATTTTAATTAACGTGACTTGTAAAGTTCGGGCTAATTATTTTGCTTCGTACCTATAATTTCGACGCTCAGGCCAAAGCTTTGATTTGAAATGTATTTTTTTATTTTTATTTCAAAGTTCATTCTAGATTCAGCAGCAAAAACTAAACCCGAGTGTCACTTACTATTAATTTATATTAGAGACGAAAACGTTAAATGTTGCATGTGACTTTGCTTGCGCAGAGCATATTTTAGCTCAATCAAAACCTACAATAATCTTTTTATTTGGTCTGAGCTTTATACAATACGTAATCGCTATATGGTTAATCTGTAGCCAAAAAAACAAAGAATACGAAAAAAAACACTTTATTCCAAAATGAATTTGATTCCGAAAAAATATTGGTTTAATATTTATAAACATTAAAACATTTCAGCTTCCTTCGTTGTACCTAAATGGCAAGATCTTGATATCTGGCACGAATACTTATCTAAATAATTTACAAAGTTTGTCATTTTTAGTTTTCCTAAACTACCCCTAAATGGGGGATTGGAGGCTTGGAGGGTGAATTTTTATTAACTCTAAACTCAGTATTCATACTTGAGATCTGAATGAAAGAATAACATGTATCAATACTCTTTAAAAACTCTGCCTCCAAGCAACAGGGTGAATAGGGGTAGTAAATATTACTGGAGAGCATTTTACTGCAGGGCTTGACTAAATCGGAAAAATGCTGAACTAATTTGGATAAAATTTGGCACTTAAACTATTATTTAATACCTGGATTGAGAAAAAGGATAATTTTATACCGAAAAAATGAGAGGTCCCTGAGGGATTCTAAAAAAACCAAAGTTAACGTGGACGAAGTCGCGGGCCGCCGCTAGTGTTTATATAAAATTCCAAAATGAGACCATCACTATTTAGCAATTGCTAAATGGACACCAAGACTAGGAAATTATTTATTACTAAACTCAAATGTCTGTGTCTGTATCAATCATAATCGACATTAAAAATGGATGAGCGTATTTCAGTTTGATAATTTTTTTCAGTGTTTTTTGCCAATCATGAAATTTCACAATTATTCTTAGCTACCTACCTACTATTTTATCTTATTGAAGTTTTGCTGTGTTACCATTGGTAGGCGCAATGTAACAATTAACAATTTTTGTGCCGTCATGGCAACGATATTGAATACGCATGTCATGGTGACAACATGGAAACAAAGTTCAACATTTAACTCAAAAACTTCAATATGGGAATATATGATACTGTTTGCAAAGTCTCAATGTGAGCAAATAAGATACTTTTTACAAAGTATTATGAAATAAAATAAATTATATTTCATATGATATTTACAGACATAAAACGAGCTGGAATAAGTACACCTCTTATAATAATGAAACATATTTCGATTACTTCTTGAATGACTAATTGAATAATAGAGTTATTAGAGATCGTAATTTTTTATCTAGGTATCTAATAATTATATCATAATTAAATTCCAAACAAATTGCAACAATTGTTCTTTAAGTCTTATGCACCTCGCGCACTAGACGACCAAGACGACTACGGTTGGACTGCGGCCAAGTTTGCGACCAAGGCCATGCCCACGACCACGACTGGCCCTAAAGTGGCCATATTACTTGCCGCGTCTTTAATTCATTAATAATAATTAACTCTCTATCAAAACTCATTGCAGATAAAATTTTTGTCGTATTGAGTTGCGAAACGATACGTTCACTCAAATGACACTGGTAATGGCTGTTCGCGGCCTGGCAGCATTCGCGGTCGCAGATTTAGTGCGCTTGCGCTTATAGCAAATTATTAGTAAGTTGGCCACCACGATCAGTCGTGCTGGCCTGGTGTGTGGCCAAGTGAGCAAGTAAATCTGGTCGTAGCCGTAACGACCAGATGCCAAATCAGTGACATTCTTAGCTTTTTTCAAAAAAATACCATTTGTAGAAAAAAATACTGCAAATTGAAGAATTGCCATCAAATATTGATAAAAATATATCGTGCTCATTATTGTATATATGAATTTCTTTACATTTTAGCGTAAATGCAAGAGGACCACTTATTGTGGAAGGCCAACATAAGTATAGGCTCTCTAGTTCCTTTAACTGTAGTGGAATATCTGCACGAAAATATTTTTTACAGTATAAGTATATTATTATTATATTTTTTTAAGTTGCTTGTATGCGTAAAACAATAATTGAAACATCTTCAGCCATAAGGTGCCCGAAAGAAGCGCGGTTTTGCCAACTGTAGAAGGCTATGCAACAGTGACAGTTTTATTTTCGAATTCAAAGGGTTCAATATCACTTGATTTCCATAACCGTTCACCGGCTGACGTCTAGGTTACATTTTAATATCATGAATAGGAAATTTTAGCATAACAGACGTTCCATTTCAACATGAGTGAGAATACATTGAGTAAGGATATTTCTTTGACGAGCGACGTACTAAATTAATTCATCAGACATACAGATTATCGTACACTTTTAAACCGACTACAAATATTAATTTGACTAAAGATAAAATAGGTTTACTATTTTTTACTTTTCGGCGGTTTAATTTTTTGCTAAAAAGTTTTTATTTTACAATTATCTGTGACTATATTTTTTCTAATATACAACTGGGCTTCAAAATCTGTGCGTGAACAAATTTGGGGTATATTATGCCCTTTTCATTAAAAAAAGAATTATCTTTTGATAATACTTTTTTAGACTTCTCTTTAAAAAGTTATGCGTGGTCATACATTAAAAAAAAATATACGCCGACTTGAGAAACTCCTCCGTTTTTCCGTCAGTTAAAAATACACTAGAATTACGCAATAGGTAGCTTATTAAAACAAAATCTAAATGTAGATGGAAAGAATCTTTCTTTGTTATTCTTATACAACATAGCATTCTAAAAAGCTGTTTCCTTTGGTATTTAGGTTACCTATTATAGTACATTATAAAGGATGTTCATTAACCACGTTATCCTTAGTAAAAAGATTCGCTTACCTGTGCACGCATATCTCATTCCCAAATCTACAGTGGAGTTTGACAGTAGTCTGACAGTTAATGCCGATATATTGCTTTATCATATCCCGTTTCGGTGGTCATTCTATAGCCCCTATAGCAACTTTGTTTTTTAAATAAACAAAGAGCATTTTTGAACGAGACCAAAGACTTTTTGCTAGAGGGGCTGGGATGGAAATACGATACGTAAAAATCATTTTGGTAAAATGCAGGTGTGGGTTAATGTGCGGCCAGAGAACCAGAGGTGACAGAGTACCTACTTCGAATCTCAGGCCCAAGCATGAATTTTTACAGCTTTTTAATCGTTTTTTTTTTGAGAGTGTATGCTGTTGGTCGCAGATGACCTTTACAGCGTCACCGGGTTCGCGGACGGCGAGATCCTAAGGGGACCTCAAGCCGAGAATTGGCGAGTGCCTCTATAGGTATTCCAGGCGGATGGCATCTCCCCGCGGGGGGAGTCTCCTCTCCGTCGGCAGCCTCTAGACCACTTGAATCTGAGGGGGACGGCTGAACTAGAGGGCGTCTCCCAGACCTCGGTTCTAGTTGGCCGTTGTCGTATCGCATCGTCAAAGTTTCTATACAAACTAAGCAGCGCCCCTACCGTGCTACGTAAGAACAAACTGGTTCCTTCCATACATGTCAAAATACATGCTCGGGCCTCTGATATAAGGAAGTAATCTAATTTTAGTAAATATTATTATACGAATATACGTAGATAGTGGTGCCAATTCTGGCGTGATTCTCTAAACTTAAAACTAAATTTAACATCAGTCCCTCCTTTTCATTCTATATAGAGAATGACACAAATATACGAGTACTTCTGTCAAATTTAAGTTTAGGTTAAGAGAATCATGCTAGAATCGACACCAGTAGCCGGTCTCAAGAAAATGTATTATATTTTCCTGGATCCTCGAGGTAAACATTTTCCCGCCTTTGGTATGGTTGATATCTACCTTTGCACAAGGAATATCTCTTATTGCAACGTAATAAAGGTGACCTCGTGTCACGACACGATTGTAAAAAAATAATAAAGATTTGAAACAATAATAAGAACAATATGTAATGTAAACGTACATAAATAACAGTTTCTTTAAACGAAAAAAGATATTAAAATTAAATTTATCTTGGATATTACAAATATGTTAAAATTAACATGCTTCAAAAAACGGTGATATAAAGCATGTTCTTATTACGTCATGTCGTTTAAAATTACTATGAATCGAACAAAATTCTACGAAAGTCCATTTTAAATCAGAGCCCCTTATCAGCATAACAGAAACCAATATTCTTCGCTACCAAAATAAATATGTATGTATTCTCTTATGCATTCAGATAAAACGCCATCGTGTTGGACATATAAAAGCCTTGTTTAGACTGCATAACTGTGCATTACGAATGCCCGGCTGTTTCTAAACAAAGTGCGGTGCGCGTTCAGAATGACGTCACATAACAATTGACAACCGGCTGTAGAGTAGCACCGTATAACACACCGACCTCTGGGCCGATTGGCCAACCGAGAACCGAGCACAACGCACGGACACGCTGCCGGCTGACCTTACCAACCGACCAACGGCGACGAGTTGATAACACTCCGCGGCTCAGTGTTAACCAAGTGCCCACGCTTCGAGCACGCCTCACACAACCATGTCAGAAACAGAAAACACTGCCAGCTTTTGGGACGAGCTAACGAGCCCCATAAACTTAGCATTGGTCGCCGTCATAGTGTACCTTGTCTACAAAATAATACAGTCTAAATTCGAGAGGGAAACCGAGGCCGCACCGCCTCCCCCGCCGATGCCAAAACTCCGAAAGGACCTAACCGTTGCCGAGTTGAAGAAATACGACGGCACTCAGCCTGATGGGAGAGTTTTGCTGGCCGTAAACGGGGTGATTTTTGACGTCACCAGAGGCAAGCGGTTTTACGGGCCTGGTAAGTATTGTTTGTATTAGTTAGACCTATAACGTTATAAGATAAGCGACCGTCTGTCGGCGAAGTTTTGCACGGTGAGCAAAAAGTAAAATATAAAACCAATTTCTAAATATTTCCTGTCCAATTTAATAGCAGGTCACGTGTTACGTTTCGAGCGTCGAAAACTTCAACTCCATATACCTACAAACGAATTAAAAAATGTAATATTATTGTCGGCAATGACTTTACTTGTTTACAACACAAAACGGTAACCAAAACATTGGATATACATGATTTTGCATAATGTTAGGTACATAGAGTATATTAATACTAAATATATTAAATATACAATACTCGCAACTGCTATTTATTAATAGGAATATTTTGCGTAATGGCTTAAAACAGATTTAAGTACGAAACTCAATATTTCTACTATAACCACATGCGTCGTAAATCGTGTATCTGGTGCATCTAATTATCGTGGATCACCAAGCATAACGTAGTCTGTATTACCGTCTCTTTCGCTCGTACTGAACCAGTTTAAGAGTGACGAAGATAAACGATCAACACGCTCTGTTTGTTGCCTATATTCAACGGACTGGCTGGTTGTGTTCAAAACTGGTTACAATACATTGTTAGCTCCAATGTTATCGTTTAACGATACATCAACAATATCAGTGTTCGACGATCAGATAATGGTTATTGGCACACTTTTATTTTCTTCCAGCAAAAAATATATTGAAGAATCATATTATTTCAAATCAACTGGAATTTTTTGGATACACATGTTTTCTTCAGTACCTAAGTAAAGTAGGTATTTCTGTTCATTATACAAAATATTTTTTACCAAATAAGTAAAAAGCATTTATGTTTTATTTACCTACTTCCTTTTATTTTAATTTCGTTAAATTCAGATTATATTTTATATTATAATTTTGCGTCTAATCTTTGTTATTACAAACAACCTTGTTTACATTACAAAAGTGATAAGTTAATATATTGCTTTGATGTTTCCCTTCCATTTAATTAAGGTAGATAACAAAATATATGAAATTATAATACCGAAACATAAGATTCTTTGATATGGCACAGATTTATGAGAAAAGAATTGTTTGAACTTAACCGTATACAAAGTTGTTTTTTCTCTGTTAGGATTTATGTTTTGCTATTCATTATTTAACGTACAACATTCGATTGACCCCTTTAAATTATAACAGGTTTGACCAGAAAATTAAAACTGGATTTCCAAAAGAAGATCGTCGCATTATTATTCTTACGATTCTTTTAAAGACTTAACGATGTTGTCAGAACAGTGAATTTTATATAAAAAAAAATCGTTTTTAGACGTTGCTCACTATTGATAACAACCGTATGGTACGAGATAACTTCAAAGTTTGTAAACTATTTTCGATAAATTATGCCTTTGATAAAATAAACCGGGAGGACAGAGAAATATAAATCGCTTCGATCATTAAGTTTCACTAACTAAAGCCTTTCTATTAAAAACTTTGTTACGGCATTGTGACATCGGACACTAGTGTAGCCAACATCTAATGCTGCGTTTCCACTTACGCTCAGAACAGTTCTGAACGAGCAAACATTTGCTCGATCGGTAAATGGAAACATCAGAGCGAGCGAACGAGCCCGTCCAACGATGTTTGTCAGGACTCAATCATGTCTTGCTCAATCATCAATGGCAACAGCGCAACGGCGATCGGACACTTGCTCTGAGTATTCCATTTACCGAGCGAGCAAATGTTTGCTCATTCAGAACTGTTCTTAGCTTAAGTAGAAACGCAGCATAACAGTATCTTCTATCACTACTTTCAAACAAAAACTTAGACTAACCATCAACTTTAAGAGAAGAAGAGCATAGAAAATCTTATATGAAAACATTAAATACGTAGATTTCCATTTCAAAGAGGATTCCGGATTTCCGATTTTCGGAAGATGAACCTTTTGTATCAGATGCATCTTTATGATTGTGGTCGCTAGCCATTAGCTCATTTGTCAATATTTTAACATAAATAACAATAAAAGACAACTAATATTACGAAGCCTCTGTGCATGAAATTAGGTTTAAGACTAGGAATTGACACTGATGAATCTTCTGTTGCACAACATTATTTGATGCTCCGCCATAATAAAATAGACGCAGGCCGTTAAACATTTATTTTATCTTTATATTCGTACTTTAGTGTGTTCCATAATAAATTTAACTTAAACAATAGATTAATAATGCTCAGATTAATAATTTAGAAAAAGAAAAATACCGGAAAATTAATAAATAAAATAAAATACTTTGTCTTACAAAGAACAATGGGTACTGTTTGTACATTATTTGCAAAGTCATTGTACTTAAATATTATTTGAGATTGTAGTGAATGACTGAGGTTTTATCTTATCAAGTCTCTACTACAGATTACATCACTATGAACAATTTGATTTACTTAAGTGAATAAGTTAACTTATGAAACTAGACGAGCCGAGGGAAAATATCAAGTTTAATAGCTAGTTGTAATTTTTGGCCTTAGCCTACTTAAACTACGTTTCATATGTATTTGGCTATCTAAATTACTGACTAGAAGGAAACATCGAATATATGTGTCAAGATTTTTTTGAGGAAAACAGCGGATTTTCCTCCCAAATTAATATCCGATGTATTTATAAAAAAAATAGTCAAATCATACTATTATGCTATAGATTGGGAGATAACTATTTATTACACTTTCGCATGTAAATCGCTGAATCGATGTTGACAGATTTTGATATGAAGTTAAAAGATATCGGATAAGGATCTAAACTTCCTTTAAATGTTACGTGCGTGATATGGCGGACGATTTACAGAGAAATCGCAGACATCTAATAAAAAATAAAAAGAGATATAATTTGAATTGAGTCAGTTACACCAACAAAAGTTTTGATGATTAATTAAATTACAAAGCAGTAATTTTTTTTAAGTGTGTATGCTGTTGGTCGCAGATGACCTTTACAGCTTCACCGGGTTTGGGGACGGCGAGATACTACGGGTGCGTCAATCCGAGAATTGACGAGTGCCTCTAGAGGCATTCCAGGCGGGTGGCATCTCCCCACGGGGGAGTCTCCTCTCCGTCTGGAGCAGCTAGACCACTCGAACCTAAGGGGGAAGGCTCAACTAGAGGGCGTCTCTGAGACTCGGACCTGAGCTCTAGTTACATACCTGTATAGAGAGTCGTATGTTGACCAAGTCTTCGCACTCTTATCCTACTGGTGCGGTGTCTGCCTAATGCTAAGTGTGCAAGTAAGCTAGCTGTGTGTGTTGGTGTTTGTGGCCTGTGTGGGAAGAGTTGGAGGCGAGTAAAATCTCTTTTGAACAATGAGTGTATATCATGCTGTGCTCATTTCAAGCGTTTTCTATAACAACTCGTATTCCAAAAGTCATAAAGGTAATTTTACAACGACCCTGTGTTCTTCACGCCATTAATTTCAATTGAAATCATTTGCGGTCTTATGACGAGGGCAGATTGAGGTCTATTAAGATAGAAGTGATAGAGATTTCGATAAATTCAGAATGCTCTGACAAACATCTGAAAAACTTTATTAAAAATCATGGTTTTAGAATAAGGAACGTGTAAGATTTTTTTAATATAAAATAAAACGATTTTTACGGGTTATATGCACTGAATTTATTTATCTGACGTTTCACAGCCTTTTCAGGACTTCGTCTTCAGAAAAAAAACACTTTTTTCTGTTATTTAATGAGTGATGCGCGTGAAAACCAAAGAAAACAAATTTTTATTTAGCAGTGTGAATACCCTTAATATAATCAAAAAGTGTTTGGGTAATCACATGCATGTGTCCTGCCGTTATGTTTATAGTTTGTTATAATAATGTACTGTGGTACTTATATATTTTTTTTCTATCTTTGTTACATAGTATTCATGTGTGGTTATGAGTGAGTGAGTCTGCTCTTGCTTCATTGGATACTATTAACCGTTGTACTAAACTTTAATCGTTAATTTTTTTTTGCCTAAACCGCAGGACACGGCATTCCTAAACTTTGTTAAACCAGTTTTTTATATAATCATAATTTTTATTATATTAGCATTTGTAATGGAAAGTGACTTTATGAGTTACCTCATATTAAAGTCATTTTTCAATTTCACGACTCTGTATACAATACAGGGAGAAAAAAGCAGCCCTTGCTGAGTTTCTTGCCGGTTCTTCTCAGTACAAGGTCTCCCGCCGTAGATTTGCGAACCGATGGCGTAGCTTTTCGACATTCACAAGTGCTTGTAACAGCCTAGACTGAATAAACGATATTGAATTTTGAATTGAAAAAAGATTCAACGTCAAAAAAAGTACAATTTAAAAATAGCCACCTTGCAACGGCATTTTAAAATCTCAATATTTTGGAACACTTGGTGTGACATCATAGTTAATATTAACGAAAAACCAAAGTCGATCTACACTTTAAAACTCACATTAGATCTCGTTGACTTTGACATTTCCTGTATATATTTAAAATCTCTAAAACATCTCTAAAATCTCTAAACTTTTTTATTGTTTTTTTTCTGTGCTCATGTCTAAATTTTTAAAACATCGAAAAAAATCATAACTTGAAACTATAAAACATACATGGGGGGGATTCTGATACCTCACGACATGCTGGACCAATATTTTTTTTCGAGGCATCAATTGACCGTCCGCTCTATAGCAACTATATATCTATCAGATAATAATACCATTTTCAACATTACTATCATTATCAGTAATTGAATCAAATATCTCAACAATGTCCAAAGAAAGCCTGTAAGAAACTAACAATGACTATGCAAAAATTTAGTAAACACCTACCTATTTTGACACAGCAAGTTTTTTTCAGTGTGTAAAAAAACATAGCTGTGTCTACCGAAATATCTTTTCTGAGTTATTGCGTATTGTCTGTTTTAAGTTTATTTTAATAGAATGGAATAATCATAGTAACAGCAAATCATACACGCGTTTATCGTTGAATAACTGATAATTATAGAAAAATCTAAAATAAGAGTAGTAGGTACTAGAACGAAGTTACTAAACAAAACAAAATTGTTGTTAATGGCAGAGTCAACTTTATTAAGTAGGTCTTTATCGTTTTGGATTGCGTTATAAATAATCAGGGAAAAATTATACCTCACCGAAACCAGTAACGCAACTTAACTTACGTAAATTAGTGGTCGCAGACGGCAAAAGTTTGTATTCAAGGTCAATAAACCCTTTGCGCAATTTAACTTTTTTTTTATTAAACTGATTCCAAATGTTTAATAATAGTAAAAATTTAATGCAACATGCCAAAGATAAAAGAAAAAAACTGTGAAAACAATAAAAGTTTCAATTTAAAATACGACAAATCAGTTCGTAAAAGATGTGGTAAATATATTCAAGATACAAATTATTTGATCAAAAGTGTGTTGTAAGCATAGAAATACACATTATGTTAAACCCGAAAATGGATATCGTATTCTAGTTATGCAAATACGAGTACTTAACTCTGTGATCAAAGTTCAATACAGTAGGTACAATCTTTATTTATGAGCATCTTTTCACTCATGCTTGCTTATTATTGCTGTCAAAGGTCAGTTTAAAGATGATTTTCGTTCCAAGTGAAAATATTTTTTTATTAGAATTATTTTTGTATTAGAATTATTTACGTGGGACATTCAAAAAGTTTTCAGAAATTAAAAAACTAATTTCTATGAAAAACAACAAATTTTGTATTAGAATTATTTACGTGGGACATTCAAAAAGTTTTCAGAAACTAAAAAACTAATTTCTATGAAAAAAAAAATATTTTTATTTTAAAATCGTCAAAAATCATAGCACGAAAATGTTCTCGATGCAGACACGATACAGATCCATTTTTTGATGAGACAAGAAAAATTTAATTGGCTCTCGAAAAAATGCAGAGCGAAATTTTAAAATCGAACAGTGGTATTTTTACTTTTAAATAATCGGAATTTTTAAATAATTACAAGTGGCCAGAGTCCTTAACTTTTTTTCGCAAAACTTTCTCAGTGGCCTGGTACATGTATAAAAACTTGAATACAATACTTGACACGAAATATGTGTAGTAATTAAGTGATTTATACTTGTAAGATACTAATTGTCTATGCTGTGTAAACGATTGTTTTAAACAGTCACAACAAGTATTCTACAAGTTTTGATTAAAACTAGTATATGACTTGTTTCTTGGTGGAAACGAGGGGTTAAATATCGCGGTATCTAGTCGAGCGAAGTGAGACCAATCATTTATCTATGTAGGTGACATAAATATAAATCTTTGTATAGTTTGACAAAATGATTTATTTATAATATGAGTTCATTTGTTCGTTTCGTGTTCCCTGTCACTCTTCTGACTTCTTTTCTAACTCCTTTTCTGTGCACGCTGCTTGATTTTGGAATACACTTTCGGAAGGTATCAGAAAGGCTCGTACATTAAATTCCTTTAGCGACCAAGTTAAAAGCTATTTCTTTTATTAATTTTACATCGTATTTCTTTGCTTCTCTTATATTTATGTAAGTATAGTTCCTGTATCTACTTTTGCACCCTACTATATTTCTCTATTATTATTCCCTTTCTACCGTAGTAGGTTGCCTGGGAGAGATTGCTGTTTAGCAATAAGGTCGTCTATTGTATACTCTTCTTCATTTAATAAGTTTATCTCTTGTGTCCTTTGTTGTGTGCAATAAAGATTATTATTATTATTATTACTGTAAATTATATTTGATTTCATACTACGGCGATTAGAACTACTCACTGAGCGACTACTTTATATATTTTTATCAAGAAAATAAATTTAAAAGAAATTCCTAAAAACATTGTGCAATTTTATTCATAATCAATTAGCCTTTCTTCAAAGTAAGCGCTTATTTATGAGCTATGACATTACATAACAAAGATATTTTTGAACATCGATGCTCCCCTCAATATTATGCACAAAGCAAATAATTCGTAAATTATCATAACACTGAAAATATATACAGATCCAGACAATAGAATCTTATGAATAAATCTATTAAGTTTCTGTTTGCAAAAATGCTAATATTTTTATTTAAATCACCTACAGATACACATCGACAGCCTTGTGACGTGAATCGAACCTACTTATACACAAAGGTGCCTCTTAGTAACTCGAGAATAAATAGCTAATAATGTATGTAGGTAAGAAATATTCACGCAGTTGCTTGAATATTCCCATGCACACATTTACATTTCGATAAAATAAATTTTTGTTTCCCTGTTGTTCCCTGTCTCTCCACATAAGAAGGAGCACGTTGTTATCTAGAAGAAAGCTGTAATAGTAGTGTCGATTCTGATATGTTTATCTAAACTTAAAACTAAATTTAACATCAGTCTCTCGTTTTCATTCTGCATAGAAAATGACAAGGATACACTGTTGTCGAATTTAAGTTATGGTTTAGAGAGTCATGCCAGAATCGACACGATTTTCAATCGATACTCCATCAATAATAAGGAATACTGTATTTAATTTATAATCCGATTCAACTAAGAATAGGACCGACTCGGCGCCATATTGTGACGTCATAGCTGTCAATTCAAACCAAATAGGTAGAGTGAGCAATAAAAGTTTTTATTTAATAAAACTTATTTACTAAGATTAAGTGAGAAAAAACATCAGATTTTTTTAATAAAATTTATTTACTAATATTGAGAAAAAAACAACCGATTTTTAATAATATTTATTTATTAATACTGTGAGAAAAAAAATCAGAATCTAGCGCTTCAATTCAGCTCATCACTGCATTACCGCCGGAGTAGTTATGAATAATCATGCACTATTACTAGGTCAGATACGAACATGCATCCTTTATGTACACGAAAGTTTTAAATCGAGTTTATGATCGCAACTTAAAGTGACATTTAGTTGACGATTTACGCAGTGGCCGCAATGAGCTGATTTACAAAAGATACCATACGAACGACATACACATACGCTGCGTATTTCCATAGACAATTAAATTTGACTGCAGTTAAATCCTATAGAAAAAAAACAATTGTCAAAATTAGGTACTACATGTTTGACGTGGCATTAACTATAGTCAAATTTAATTAAAGATAAACCAACGCGGCCTTAGCCGCGACGATCAACTTCAGTTGATCTGATTCGTCCGTCTAGTGCGCGAGGTGCCTAATAAGAGTTCATGCCATATTGCTTGCGGGGTTGATCAAGATTTAAGTTATTAACAAGAAAAGGCGCCGTGGTTATTTTGATAATGCTTTAAAATATTGTTTTTTATTCCTTCGTAAATTGAAATTTCTGTCAATCCCACCTGATGAGCATTTAAATGCTTTTTTTTGTATGGAGAAATAATTAATGCAACAACATTTTTTTTAACGAGTACCAGACATGGTTTTACTCTAGAAATTATACCTAATTTCAATATTATTTCATACACTATACGACTCTCACATATTTTAGTTAATTGCAATAAGATGTAATTCATAATGGTAACCTTTGTATGGTTACCGCAAACATAAATACGAATGTATTTCCGGCGTGTTTAACCGCTTCAAATTTAATTTAATCTGGCAATAGTATGATAATAATTTACTATCATTTCTTGAATGTATACGTCATAGACGTGTGTGTGTATTTTGATTGCGAAATTTTATTTGTTATGTAATCGTTCTTAACCGGTTTAACGTGCATTCCAATATATGGATTCTTTTATGCTAGTTCAAACAGTTTGATCAAATTGGTATGAATATGTAGCTATGGGAAAGATTGATCAAAATGAGTTGTCTATTGGCATGAAGAAAATGAATTTTCGTATTTCTATTTGAACAAACTGTTTGAAACAGCATGTTTTATTAAATAGCTTGAACGTCTATGGTCGCACGCTGGTCAATGCGCAAGTTACTTAAATTCCTAAGCCGCAAACCGAATACGCTTAGAACTGCCCAGTCAGAAACAACAGAACATTCTAAAGGATCACATGTCAGCAGACATAAATACTATAAAAAAAACCGTTGTCCATTCCAAATGTGGCCCAACGCACCTAAAGAAGTTTTCACTGCAATAATATCTATCGATTTCTAATTCCAGGGGGTCCGTACGCGGCATTCGCGGGTAAGGACGCGACCAGGGGACTCGCGACTGGTCAAGTGAGCGGCTCGGAACAGGAGTACGATGACGTCAGCGATCTGACACAAGAAGAACAATACTCTGCCAATGAATGGGAGGCGCAGTTCAGAGGTAAGCATACTTTCTATTTTATTTAGGACTAGTAGTTAGTTTTTTGAAAATCCCTGGAAAACCTAACACATTTCCGAGATAAAAAGTATTATAAGTCTTAATCTAGGTCATAGAGTATATGCGTACCAAATTTCAACCAAATGCGTTCAGTGGTTTTTGCGTAATTGAGTAACACACATATAAACACGCAAACATACTTTAACATTTATAATATTAGTAGGATCACTCATATATTTAGAGATTGGACTGCGTGTTCCCTTACCGTCGAGTCAAATTGGGCAGATAAATGTGAGAGAGATGAAGCAATAGGGTCGTCGATCGTCTATGTATTGATCGTTTTTGGTCTCTTTCGTTAATAAATGAAAGAAAAATATCAACCATTATTTATTATCAATATTTGTTTACATATGTTTGATTTTTATTCTAGAATTAGCTGAGTGCTAAAAAAGGGTTCCAAGATTTTTTGCAAAGCGTACTTTTCAAGCGACATTTGACAGATGGAGGTCATTTAGAGGCTTTCCTATTATTATTTGAATCGCACAATACACATTAATGCACCTCTAAGCGGCTCTAAGCGGTTACGACCACGAGTTCATTTATTTTTTATAACGTATAAAAATCAAAGAAAAATATAAAAATAGTCCTGAAAATGATTTTCTAAAAAAATATTTAAAACACTGAATAAATTGGTGTCGTCGACATTATTTTTCACTTAAACACTACTGACACAGCGTGAATGTACGAGTAAGTCCAATGTCGTGTTATGTGACACATACACTTCGTTCCGTCTAATTGTGTCGCGTTCCATCAGTTTCAGTTTCTCTCGCTTATATTGATATTTTATCAGTTAAAAGAGTAACTTAAAAAAAATACCTTTCAGATAAAAGGTAAAGGACAGTAAAGAATCAAGAAAAAAATATTCCATATATCAACGTCATGCTATTCCCCAATTGTATTTAATAATGCAAACCTTTGTTGTAACAGAGACTATATTTCCTAGTTGTTTAACAGGTAAATTAACCAACCGTGGTTTTGCTTTCACGAGAATACTTTTTTATACGTTCTAATGAGTAAAATCTATATAAATAATAAAATGGTAGGAAAGTCAAAACTACTATCGATACCAAAGCCAAAAATATAGTTTTTAGAATTTTTGTCTGTTTGTCTGTATGTATGTACGGGATAAAGTCAAAAAGTACTGCATGGATTTACTTCAAATTTGGCATGAATATTATTAAGAAGTCGGATCAACATATAGGCTACATATTATCACGCTATCACCTACTTGGAACGAGCAGTGAACAGTGGTCAAAAAGTATGTGCAAATAACTAACTCCACGCGTACGAAGTCGCGGGCGGCCGCTAGTGTTAAATAAGATGACCATATCGGAGCTTGAAGCAGCAATTCATCTTAATATGTAGATATTTTAAAATCATTGCTTCTAATACTTATTTCTTATCGTATGTAGCTACGTTATGTACAAGTAAGTAGTTTAATTCATGTTATGGGAAAAACACAGATATTATTCCGCAATGTATACATATATTGTTACTTCGTGAACATGGCGCTTGCAACAGTGCCAAAATATCGGAGACTCGTAAAAACAAGGCGCATGGCAACAATCCCGTTAATAGTTATAATGTAAACGTAAATTGGAATAATATTGATGCCATCAAGGTGAGCCTAAATAAGCTATTAATGGACTTAGGCACCTCGCGCAATAGACGGCCACAATCACGACCAGTGGCCGCAACGGCATAGAATACATTAAAGTACAATTACAACGGCCAGCCTAACTAAAGAAACCATATAAACGCGCGCACTTGGCCGCAACGGCCAACTGGCCGCACACCGGACACGACTGGTCCTTGCGGTCAGCTTACGCGTTATAAGCGCTCGCGCAATAGATCTGAGTCGAATTCGGCCAGGTCGCGACCAGCCATTCTCAGTGTTAAGCGGATAGTTCTTGAGTGAGCACGCTTCATAGCGTTCGTTCGTTTTTGATACAGAGTTATTTATTAATTAAATAAAAAAATTACCAGCACTGTGGCCACTTTATCGTGGTCGTGGACCCGAACTTAGCCGCTGCCCATCCCTATCTTCTGCGACCAAGGTTGGTGTCTTACTGTGAAATATGACCTGTTTTGTGAGCTAATAAAAAAAATACCATAAACCACCACAAAAGGCCAGTATGGATTGATGCGTACGACCATAGATGCAGGCGGGACTAACGGCTGGATGTCCCTTCCGCTAAGCTTCCATTATCACAGACCGAACCGGTTGTCCAATTTCATCTTATATTTGATATATTCTTTCCAGTATAGCGTTTAACTACAAGAACTTGTGTAAATTTTAAATCCCACAAAAATAATTTTAAATAGGTAAAAAATACAAAACAACTATGTTTTTATTTGCATTGTTTCGATTTGCAATTTAAAAAAGTCCTGTAACAATAGGACGCCGACTTCCATTTTCATCTCAAAATTAATATCGTCCCTTAGCTAACAACACCGCTCAAGTCGAAAATTGGCGGTTTTTACATTTTAATGCCATTGGATGAAGCTGCGCATTGCGCGTCGAACCATTGGTCTCATGAAATAGATTTCAGCCAATCAGAAGCCGTAATTCAAAAAATAGTGACAGCGCTCAAGTCGGTTGGCGTCGCAACACCGCACAAGTCATTAGTCTGTCATACTTTTCACGCGAAAATACTTCACGCTCCGTGATTATTCAATTTTTATGTGAATTTTATCGCTGAAATATCTTTGCAAGAGGTTTTAATAGAAGATTAAGAGGTAAGCTATAGAATAAAGTAATGTTTATTGATTTACGCGTATTAATTTAGAAATAAATGATAAAATAATATCTTTACTTACTTAGGCGGTGTTTACTAACTATTTTTTCTTAATTTAGGCGGTGTTTCAAAATTTATTTTATTTCTGTTAGGAAACTCAATAATTGAAATACGCTATGGATGGAGAAGAATTTGATTCCTGGAGTGATCTAAGTTCAGGTGATGAATGGTTATGTGCCCAATTACAAGAATCAGGGCTGATGTCAAAACATAAACGGCGTAAACAAAGTTGCAAAGAAGATAAAAAAAGAATTAAACTAGGTTAGTAGTAGTAGTAGTATGGGTTTGTTTTGCAGTCCGCATTTATTTTTTTGTCATTTATGATTTTAATACAATAATTCCTATTATTTATTTTAGATTTGAATCAAAAAGATAACACCAGTTCTTCTGACACCAAAGCATGCAATTCTCCTACTAAATGTGAAACTATCGCAACACCAGTAAATGATCAAAACTTTGGGGAGTCCATGAAAAGTATTATAAGTGGCCAGGATAATGTAAACACAATATTTGACCAGAATATAGACTTGGATAATATTGAAAATATTGACATTCACAATCTACAAGTCGTAGAAAAAGTTGGTAATGACTTCTTTGATTTGCAACATAATAATTTACCACCTGAATTTGCTACAGTGACCATCGAGTATCCTCCGCCTTCTGCATTGAATGTAGCCAATATCTCGGTAGAAAGTAAGAATGTTGTACAAGAACTAGGAAATATTGACATCGAAGCTTTTCCTACGAGTACTCAAGACCCAGTTTCGGAAATAGTAATTAATACAGATACAGATATAACAGATGAGAATAAAACAACCCAAAACAATATCCAGCAATCCAGTGTCTCTGCTACTCCATCATGTTCTTCAAAAGTAGTCATACTCAGTAACGTTACTTATCACGGTGATTTGTTAAGTCATAAAAAACGACAGAACAAGGCGTCAAAAGATCCAAATAAATATAAACGCAATATAAATAAAGAGTTACGGATGAAAGGTGAAAATTATTTAGGATACAGAAGAGATAGAAAAGCAAAGATTAATGAAACATTTAAAGTGAAACAAGACGTATTCAAGCCTGCAAGATCCATGAAACCACCGTGCACTTCTGCGTTTTGCAAGAAATCCAAACTCAGGTCATGTGACAACATAAACGAGCAACAGCGAAAATATTTGTTTGAAAATTTCTGGAAGAACATGAACTGGGAGCAGCGAAGATCATTTATAACTTCTCACGTTAACAAAGTACCAAAAAAAGTTACAAAAAATCCAGAATCATCCAAAAGAACTGAAAGTCGAACTTACGTTTTGACCATTGATAATGTACGTCACCAAGTCTGCAAAAAAATGTTCTTGGCCACTCTTGGAATTAAAAATTGGTTTGTAAGATATTGGTTGACAAAAACCGATTGTGCTATGCCTCCCGATGTATCTACTTCAACCAGTAATCGCAGAAATCCAGGGAAAATTGAAGAGCACAAACACGTTGAAAAGTTTTTAGCAGATCTTCCAAAGATGCCGTCACATTACTGTCGTGCTAAAACATCACGAGAATATTTAGAGCCAATTTTCTCGAACATGACACAGCTCTATTACGCATATAAAGATAATTGTGAATTAGAGGGAAGAGAATGCCTTGGCCGTAAATTATTTGACAAATTATTTTTGAAACTCAATCTGAGCCTATTCCACCCAAAGAAAGATCAATGCGACGTTTGTTGCAGTCATAAAACTGGAAACATTACTGATGAAGAATACGCTCAACATGTTCTAAAGAAAGATCGAGCCAGGAAAGAGAAAGATACTGACAAAGGAATTGCACAGTCCGGAGCTTGTCACGTCTTCACACAGGATGTTGAATCGGTAAAATTGGCCCCGTATCTTCAAGCTAGTGCAATTTATTACAAGACTAAATTATGCGTTCATAATTTTACATTATACAATATAGCAACTAAGGAAGTAATGTGTTATTGGTTCGATGAGGCAAATAGTACGCTTGAAGCCTCTGTTTTTGCTTCATGCTTAGTAGACCATCCATAGAAGGTTTTGAGTCGGAAATTATTGCCTGTGGTTTTATATTCCGATGGTTGTTGTGCTCAAAATCGCAATGTTACCTTAAGCAATGCTTTATTACGTTTAGCGATTG